GTATTTAGGTTTAGGGCTTAGGGCCTAGAGTTTAGGGTTTGGGGTTTCGCCTTATGACAGCCAGAGATCTACGCCAAAAAATCGCAATATACACCCTCACAGACTCTATGCAAACGCTACTTACAACATGACAATACTTGCAATCTTGGGAGTGAACTGCTATGCGGCGGGTGGGTGCAGCATCCAAAAATTTCTGACGGTCAGCACTGCACTTGCCACTGCAAAGTTCAATATCACCTTGCTTTGGATGCCTCTTTGAACAGAACATGTTCCAAACGCAATTCTGTGAGCAATTACCTTATGAAGTCGGAGTTTACCATAAAACGAAAACACCAACATGAACCCCAATATGCTATGATCATTGTTATGAGGACTCCCAAAAAACGAATTTTTGGGCACCACGATATCAACATTGTGAACTACGAAGTTCAGTTCCTCCTCTTCCATACAACCTGTAGGCAGTTTACTGATCTAAGCGCGTTGGGCTTCGGATGTACGAGTACCTCCCTCATGTTGCCTACAATGATACTTGTAACTTCGGTTTTTCCCTCCCTGGCTTGGAAGAAACTCTGTGGAATTCTTGGCAAATAAAAGCCCATGATCCCGCTATAATCCCAGCGTACTCCTTGAGCCCCCAGAGGCACCATGAGAACTCCCATGAGAGTCACCTGCCTTTGAAAAAAGCGCGCAAGAAACGAGGATGAAGACGACCTAACAGGCAGGTTTAGGGTTTAGGGCCATGGGTTTAAGGCTTAGCCTGTGCAAACGCTGTGTGTTCTCCCGTGCAGGGCTAGGATATAATGAGAACTACCATGTGCGAACAGACCAGTGATCTTCGCATATGGATGTTTCCGCGGCCCCGAAGTACTATGCCTATGCTCCTTCTCAACAGGGTGTTCGACACACACAAACCAGTCTATATGGGTGGTTGTCAAAATTATGTCCCTTTTTGGGTAAGGGACCATGATTCTGACAACCACCCATATAACAAGCCCGAGTTCCCAGCATAGAAAAGCGCGTGGATGGGATCTTCCCAAACCTCTCCGAAAGAGTGAGGCGGCGAAATGTAGTACCTTAGATCAAGAGAGATTTGGACTTGGGGGTTAGGATTAAATCCGAGCACTTGTTTATTGTAAGGGTCCACATTTAAAGAACTTTTTTGTGGCAAAATTAGCGTCCAAAGACTAGCTACAATTAGGCGGCTTTTCGTGGCTTTTCGATCTTTTCGTATGGGGATAAGGGACTACATTTGAAGAAATTTTCTGGGGAACACCTGAAAATAGAGAATTCAATACATCCATATTCATTGTTTAATTAATCGAGGTCCAAGAGCCTCGATGACCCGGGAATGCATTCCTATTCTTTTCTAGTTGAGTTCCAGGAGCCCCAATCATTCTTGTAATCTGGCGGCGCCATCAATTTCTTATTCTAGAGGGGGGGGGGGTCCCCCAACTTAAACAAGTGCTCGGATTAGGGCCTGAGCTTAGGAGCAAGAACCACAGCAATGGACCACCCATAATGCTTGGGCATGACTCTTCGCAAGCAGTGTATACAGTGCATTCCTCATCATCCCACAGCTCTCGCTGGAAGTCATCCCATAACAAAAGAAGACTTGCGCCCACTAGGCGGGGCGAAAGCTTCGAAGCAAAAGGCAGCAGCAGGCTCTTTGCGCACGGCATGCACGTGAAGGGGTGTCCAGGTGCAGACCCGCGAGAATGAAACTGAGTGCGCAACCCGCTGCAAGCTAACTCGAACCTCTGCGGCTGCAGTTAGACATACCAGTCTCTGCCAAAATACGCCATAACTGGCAACAGCAGCATCAGAAGGTTCCAAGCCCGGAAAACGGTCGCAACCAACTCTGCTGAAGAGCCGGTTTCGGAAAACACTATGCCAACCCCTCAAAACCCTCCTTCGGCAGGGGTCTGCCCCGGAAACCGCCTCACCCACACCCCCTTAGGACAGATCAGCATAGCTGGGTTCAAGACGAAAGCTTGGGAAAGCTTTCGGGATCGTGGGGGGCTCTAAGCTGCAGAAATATTCTGAGATACTCCTAGTCTCAGGGATGGCCACGGATACTGCTCGATCTGGAGAGTGGGATCCATGAAGCCACGATGCACAAGTCCACCAACAGGGATCGATTGGCCCGTGATCTCAGTCTCCTGCACGAAAGGAGGTCAACAGCCGGGGATGTGCTGCTTTTGCACTCTCATATAGGAGGAATCCTCTTGATCCACCAAAGCACCTGCACCTGCCTGGCCTCAACGCTTAACTCCATGCCTAAACCTCGACCTTGAACCCAGTAACCTGAACTCGTACGTCTGAAGCCCTTAACACCTTAAGCCGGAGCCCTTAACTCGAAACCCCAAACCTTAACCCTAAGCCCTAACTATAAGTCTCAAACCTTTTAGCCTCAGCACCTCACCCTGACCCTATTCATCCCCTCTACCGAAAAAACATGACCCCCCCCCCCATCCTCCCTCCCGAATAATAAACACTCCGAATATCATAACATACATACCCCCAGAACCTGAACCCTAAACCCGAAACCTAAACCCTAAAGCCTAAAACTAACATCTCATTATTAGCATCCTGCCACTGCCCGATCATGTTCACAAACATGTTCGCCTGACCGGCACAGGCTTTGGTAGTGATTTAAAGTTTAGGGTTTAGAGTGGACCTTTGGGTCTAGTAGGGGAGCATGGAATCAACTAGGCCAATCTTAGGGATTCAACACTTTCTCGCCTTCGACTTTCTAAGGAATTACGGCTTGGAGGTTCAAGGTAATTGCAACCCAAGTATAGCTTCCTTTCAACCCAATTCTAAGACTCCAAAGACCCCGGATGTGATTACCATTCAGCTTATAAATACAAATATACTGATTTGGCTCATAACTTAACGCCGAAAAAAAACACGCAACACAAACCCAAAATCCTAAACCCTAGACCCCAAA